AATCTTATGGTATCAAGAAGAAGTTTCTAGGTGGAAGGTAGAGGGCTCAGGCCTCACCAAGTTGAGATATATAATTTAATGGTTTGTACATTATACCGAGGAAAATGAAAGAAAGAAGTGAAGAGAAAAATAAAAAAGGACTTGGCAAACACTAACAACAAAGTCAAAAACATATTAATTCTTTTGATTATCTGTCTTTTTTTTCCCCGATAAGTGAAATTTTCTATCTTTGCGATTAGTTCTTTTGATTATCTTTCGATGAATTCTCTTGATTAGTCAGGATGGTGAGTTAGTTTAGCAAGCCTAATAGCATATGCCGTTGTCTTTATTTGCTGAGCTGTATTTTTTGAGTACAAGTTCCTTACTAATTACTAAAGTGGGATTGGTGCCATGCCCGGAAGAAAAGAAGACAATGGTTCTATTTTTTATCTTTTATATTTTGTATAGCTTGTACAGTATTAATGAGGACTAAACTGGATATTTCCTTTTTGTAATAGGTTTTTAATTGTGTAGCAATAGTCTCATGAAGTCGTATTTGTGTCAATGCAGCCCCACCACAGGAATGGTATATGAGAAATTATTCCTTTTGATACCCTATGTTGATAGATATCCCCAACACCCCCCCCCCCCCCCCAAAAAAAAAAAAAAGTATGACAACTCATACAATCCACTTTTGTGGTTGTTCTATAGATCAAAAGTTCATGTTTGTTTGATTCCTTTCATTTTACCATGGACTTATTTGGACGGTGTCAAATAGAATGGTTTGCAATTTGATACAATTTGTAAATTGCTAAATTCTCCATGGGGTGTGTGTTCAATTTTTTGGTTGCCATTAATAACAAAACACACTAGATGGTTTGAATTTGCATCTAGCAATTTGCCAAGATCTCTTCTAGTTGTTGGTACGGGGCAAAACATTGTTAAGTGTAGTCATCTGTTAGTTTGTTTGACCTTGAAATTATCATTTCAGGCTCTTCTTCCAAAACTAAAGAAATTAAAATCAATGGTTTTCAACTGTACTTTTAATGAATATTCTTTTCCCAAAATATCAAGTTTTATCAATATCTAAGCTATTTGACACAGAAATGTGCTTTTGAAGATTTGAATACAGTGGGAAGGCTTCAGTAATAGATTTCCTTGAGGAAACTACAACCAATGGAGAGCCATTACCTCATTTCAACCTGGTGCATTTATCCCACATTATCCTATCCAGCCAGTGATTAACTGCTATACCTATCTGCACTTCGATCAGAGTCCTGGTGTGAGTATGACTTCTCTTTTTAGTGAAAGTTCATTTAGTGTTGTCCTTAGAAGCAGGGTTTTGAAAATCGGCCGTAACGGCCGTTACGTAACAGTAACGGCAGGTACTGATTCTGTTACGGTCTGATATAACGGAAAGAATGAATTTCACAGACGTAACGGCCGTTATGGCTCCGTAACGCCGATGTAACGGCCCACGTAACGGACGTAACGACCGTTTTGACCCGTTACGATCAAAAAAGAAAATAATAATTTGAGTATAAAACTCAAAGTTCAGCCCCCAAAAATTGATTTCATCTGAAACCCAAATTCAACCTCCTTCTCCCATCTATCTTCATTCATTCAAATCTCAAATACATGGTTTAGATCTAAAAAATCTTTCAAATAATCACTTAAAAACGCACCTATAAATTCATATCTATTTTCTTGAGGTGGTTTTCCCTCCTTTGCTTGAAAGAGTTAAACTCGAACTGTGGCTGCTGGACCAGTTATCAGATCTGAGCTCTCCTCCGTTTGGTTGCTTCTTGGTGTGGTCGTTGCTTGCTTAGGACAATTGAAGACCAGTGGATCTTCATTTCATCGCTTCATTCGAATTTCTCACTTATTTGGGTAAACACTTCAGTCAGCCACCCACCGCCTCTCTCTTTTTCTTCCCTTTTTTTTTTTTTTTGGCTTTGAGGATATAATATGTGTGGTCACTGTGGTGTCCACTTATCTGTGCAAAACAACCACCGACTCTTTTTTTTTTTTTGTTTTACTTTTTTAAGTTCTACTTAACTATGCAAATAAGTCACAGTATTTTTTTTTTTTTTGACTTTCTAAGATCTACTTACCTCTAGACTTCAGTCACTCTTTCTCCTTTTTTTTTTTTTTTTTTTTTTTAAAAATGTAGTATTGTTTTGTCTATTTAAATATTATAATATTGTATTTGAGATATATTTTTGATTAAATAAAACATGTGTTTAATTAAAATTTTTTAATAAAGTTTATTAATTATTTTAATATAGTTTACATAGGTATCACAATTAAGAATGTTAATCTTGTCATGTTCGTGTCAAGACTACGAAAAAAAATTATTATTATGTTATAAATATTAAATATTAGTCTAGACTCATAACCTCCTATAAAACATGTATTACTCATATTTGCATGATTTTAAATTGAAATATGTAAATATTCATATTTTATAGGAGGTTGTGAGTTGAAAAAAAAAATTCACGCATTCGGTTTTCGTTACCGTTACGTAACGCTCGTTTCACCCCGCGTCTGTTACGACGTTACCGTTATCGTTACGATGTCCGTTACCGTTATTCAGAACCATGCTTAGAAGATATCTTGTTGTGTTTTTGATATCATATGTTATGTTGTTTAGGGGTCATATTACTTTGGCAAAGCTCGTGTTTAGAATGTTCACACGATTTCGCAATTTCGTGGAGGTATGCCATAACTCTCTCTCTCTCCCCTCCCCCCCCCCCCAAACCAAAAAAAAAAAACAACAAAAACTACTATCTCCATGCCCCTTCCCACTCTCTGTTGTAGACTATCAATCTCACCACATTATCCATTACTCACACTTAACTGTGTGTGAGTGTTTACTTGATATATGCATTTATTTGACATAAAGTTTGATTTCTTGGATGAGCCATTTGGTCCTTTATATAAACCCGAACCTTTCCTTCTAAATTTCCTTACCTAATTCTTGTACTTTTGTCTTCTTCATAGTATATTTAATTTCCTTGTGCTTGTATTTTACATTAAGCATTACAGACTAAGAAGCACATATACTCCTCAGGGGGTCGACATGGCGGTGTCGGACGCGGGTCCAACACGGATATGTGTGGGACACGGCCGGACACGTGTTTGATACTTCCACAAGTGTCCTGAATAGTGAAGAAGTATTTGTTATGGACAGATATGGGTTGGATACGGGGGTGATACGGAGGAATACGACCACAACCATGGATTTGAAATCAGAAAAAAAGGGGGGGGGGGAAGAAGATAACGTACTTGATCAGCTATAGCCACAACCACAGATCTCCTCCTCTTTGAGTACGTATGTCGTCTTCATCTTTAGGTATCTCTTCAACCACTTTCTCTGTCTTACGCCGACTGAGTTCTCTGGAAAGTCATCGTCCAGACTTCATGACTTATCGTTGTTGCTGAAAAGCAATTAGGACTACCTTTTTCTTTTTATTTTTTTTTTACTCGTCTTAATTTACATTTTAACTCCTATTATTTTATTTTATTTTTTTCTTTGCCCTAATTGTTAAAATAATTTACAAATAACCCTTGGACTCGTTATATTTTATGTTAAATTACAATCATACCTTATTAGTTGTCACCCACTACCCAATTTGGTTTAGCCCACTGTCCATAACATATTAGCCCACTAATCAAATTTAATATTAGCTCATTTGTTCAATTATAAAATATTAATTAATTACTCAATTTTATTATAAATGTTATTATATATATAAAAATATATTATATTATTTTAATTAGCCGTATACTTGCTGAACCCGTGTCCTATATTTTGGAATTTTGTCGTATTCCCATGTCCGTATCGTATCTCAGATACGACACTCGTGTCTGTATCCGCGCTTCCTAGATTATAGAGTTTCCTTGTGAAAACTTTAATTACACTTTCACTTAATTTCATAACCAATATTTATTCATTTTATAATCATATTTTTTGTATTTTTAAGTAGGCAGAATAACTGATTCCTTGCATATTAAAATCATTTTTTTTCTTTTGGATGAGGAATCTCTTGATTGTGGATATATTCGTTACAATCTCTTGAATGTAGATATATAGGTATAGATATATGTACTAGTAATGCAACATGTGCATTGTACGTGAACAAATTTAGATAAGATAAATTACTATTAAATTTGTACAAAAACATAATGTGTAATTAATCTATATCAATATCTATATTACTATAAAATGTCAAGATACAAGAAAAGCTTTTGATTGACCACAATGTCTCTACCATATATTGTATTGACCATAAGATCCTTTAGTAAATCAATAGTTTCAGGTGCCCACTTAAACCAGCCAATTCTTCCCTTCCCTTAGTGTGTAGCGTTTTCCTGTTCTCTTCTCATTCTCATTTAACTCAACAGAAGGGCATGAAGAATTCAGTAGCGATACCATCACTACTCATCCTTGCTGTCGGCAAAATCATTGGGTATGAGTAGCAAGTTGCCAAAGAACTTGATGTACAACTGCACTTTTTTGAACTATGGAGTACTTCCTTTCTCATGATCGCTATCTTTGTATGATGTATTCTTGTAGGTTTGTGAAAGACGATCTCCACAAGAACATCAATGCTCCTAAGATTCCCTTATGACGAAGCTTGGTTCTGCTGATCAGGTAACATGCATACCATTCCCTGAAATTGTTTAATTACCTATTGTTCGCAGACTGTTTCAAGGGCTGTTCCACAAGGAGTAGTACAACTCTTGCTCGAAGTGGAACATGTCATAGTAGTGGTAGGCATTTGAATTTTCTTTAACATTAGGAAAAATATTGTATGCCTGGTTTCAAGATTATGAGTGATTCTATAAATATGAGAATTAGAGGCAAAGTTCTCAAAAAATTTAGTTCACGTTTGTTGGTTTTTTGTTGTATCCGGTTTGTGATTATATCTTACAGGACACACTTTGATGGTAGATACATGTGGTAGAGGCACAGTTAGGGTTAGAAATCTGTTTCGATTGGCGATGACCTCGAGGATATGCATATCCAAGAATCACCATCATTTCGAGGACCCGAACATGGCTCGTGGTTATATGAAATTGGGGTGTGTTATCTCTTAGAAGCAATTCATAGTAATGAGAATATATCTTTTCAACTTAAATTTATTATTGTTACCTTTGAGGTTGATCTTTCATCTTCTTCTTCTGCTCCACAACCCATTTATTTACCTATCCTCCTCTTTTCATTCACCATCTCCGCCCCTGGGAAAAAAAAAAAGAATAGTACTAATTTGATTGCATAATGCGAGAATTATCCATAATTTTTTAAGTTATTTATTATAGATACCAGCTCAGATTGCTCTGGTTACAGGTGTTGTAGCTGTTAAAGATGACTAGGTAAAGTTATTAGACTATGGCTCTCAATAATTATAAAGCTTCTTGTTTCCAAGTCAAAACATATGGTCTTATCATTGACTTAATATAGGTTTTCGATAATATACTTTACAACCTCTTTTTCTATTTCTGAATATGCAATGTTATGATTGGCTTAATTTAGGTTTTCTGTGATATATTCCTCATGATAGATTTAATTTCCCTGGAACTGTTTGTCTTAATAAAGATATGTCAAAGTTAGGCTGTATAGTTATCTCAAAAGACGTTAAACTTTCCATAGTTAGACTATAGAAAACATATATTTAAGCTTCCAATATCAGGATAAAGAAAATAAGCAAAACTTTTGGTGGTGTTTGTAAGTTGCTTTAAATCAGTTTCAGTAGAGTGATGATTGATGCTTCTTCACTCCATATGATGACAGGGGGTAATGGCTCTTGTCCACTAGCCAAGTGTTGGCAATTAGCCACCTTATGGCTGGCTTGTGGTGACTTAGACAAGTGGAGTCTTATTTGAGTCTTTAAAATCTATTGAGTTGCTTTGGTCAGTATTTTTTGGCAATTTTTGTATAGAATGATTTTAATACGTCATATCTTTTCTTTAAATGGTATGTCATCCTAGAAAAACTTTTGATTATCCATAATATCCCATTAAAAGTTTGACTCACATAAATATGCTTTCTATCCTTTCAAAAAGTCTGTACATCTCACCCAACAGTCACATTTCTTTTGACTTGAAGATAAAAAATTTTAATTTTCTTGTACACCTTTAAATAATTCTTTACAGTCATCTATATTATTACTTCTTATTATTCATAAAATTCAGTGAACTAAGAAAACCCAGAAGTTTTCATATATCTGTAACGTTTATTTTTTAGAATATGGATAGTTCTAATAGTTGTGAGATAACAGGATATAAAGTTGGAAAAAGCTAAAATAAAAGCACGCTAACAATTCTAGAGCTTCTGTTGCTCTGCTCAAGTGTTCATATACTTCATTTTGTATTTTCCCAGAGTGTTCACTTACATCCTTGTTGATATTAAATTCATATTCCTGAATGTCACTGAACTAGCAGTTGATTCCATGTTTGTAGAACATATTTCCATTGGCATACGATTCTGAATTTCGTTGATTTTTCTGTAGTGAACAAAAAGTGAATGCTTTTTAAAAATTGATGTATTTATTTTAATAGGCATTTGAGGAACTATTGGAGAGCATGAGATTATGGTGGTGGAATTTGGTGAGAGTCTTCCAATTGGCGTTGGATTTTGAATGTTGCTTCTCAGGGAACGCCAAATGGAGGACTGAAAGGCTTCTACACGTAGGTACTTTGATCTATCTTTCTTGGACATACTTTTAGTTCTTTGCTCTTGAATTTTTTGGGTTTTTAATTTAAGCTACTTTTTGCTGTCATTTGATGGTTTGACAAAAAAGTTCATATCTCTGCATAGTTTTGGAAATAGCCAAGCTGCAAATTTTTTTTCTTCAATTATTGGCTGTGATAATGGAAATTTGAAATAGATTTTTTACTATAAACAATGACAGCCTCGTGAATTTTGAATGCTAGTGGCTTGTGCAGGTATGTTACCTTAGTCTGGCACAGTGCTGGAACCACTCAAGGACCATGTGTGCCCACCCTCAATTCTTTTGCTTTACCATTACGTCAAGGATCAAAATATCGTTTCGGTGCATTGTTTTGGTCACCTACGAAACGGAAATGTTTCGACGTGTTTCGAAAACGTTTCGACCCGTTTCGGAAACATAATGAAAAAAATAAAAAATTTTAGAATTATTTTTTAAAACATTGATGGAAATATATCAAAATATCTTGAAACATTCCAAAATAATTGTGCAAATGTATTGAAATATTATAATACATTTAAAAATATTATGGAATACCTCGAAATATCAGAATTTTGATTCTGTCACTGTTTCGTTTCGGTCTCCTTGAAAATGGAAACGTTTCGGACGTTTCGACCGTTTTGAAACGATATTTTGATTCTTGCATAACGTATTATATTTTATGAAGTATATCTAACTATGTTCATCCTATTATCTTGAAAATTTTAGTGGGATCTAATTTGGGAACTTAATACAATATAGCCATTGGATTAGAAGTGAACTCCATCAAACATTGGAACTCGCAATTAATCCAACTGTTGTATTGAATCAAGTCTTTGATTAGGTCTCTATAGTATCACTCTTTTTTTATCATATCAGTTAGTACACACATACCTAAATGGTTAACAGTGGACACGCTTCGGACGTATTTGGATTAGTTTGGACATATTGGGTTCATTTTAAAATCTTTTGATCAACTTGGCAATTTTATTATTGATGTGCACTTTAGCATTGAGTTTAAAAACTAATTGAGATTTGTGATCTTGCGCACAAAATTTCAAGATAAAAAGGTACATGGTATATCATTTAGTGTACACAAATGTGATTTTGACATAAATTTTACTAGTTATTAATAATGAAGTCATTAGGCAATGTTATCAAATAATGAAAATTTATCAGGTTAGTCGTAACTAACTACAATTAACCTCATTTTCAATAAAAACATATAATTAATCTTGTTTTTGTTGTGCACAAATATGCATAAAATTTTTAAGGATCATTGATGAAATAAATAGTATAAATGTGTCATTTTTTTATCGATTAGGATAAACGTATTAGAGTGCCCATCTAAGAAATTTTTTTTTTACTCCACCACCGTGGACATTTTGGAAAAAATTGGTTTGGAATTTCTTAGTCCTTTTGTTTTAGAGAAGAAATTGTACTGTGTTATTATATGTTCATTTTATCATCGTTTAACCTTCTGTGGGAAGGGACAATTCTGGAATGGTTTTGAAATTAGCTTGGTCAATTTTAATATTCCAAGACATAATGGGGAGAAGGAGAATAAGGTAGTCACAGTTTTCCTTGGCCGATGCTTCGGGCGAACTTGCTTGTAAGGTGTTGTCAATTTCTTCTCCCTCTCTCTAGGATTTTGCATATTATTTTGTAATTTGGTGGGAAAATTGAAATGATATTACAACGAATATGAACAATAGGGTGCTTTTTGAGAAAATTGATGAATAAGACATATTTGTTCTCTTGGCTTCTTGGTTGAATATTTCATAACATTATTTTATCTCTTAAACCAGTTAAGTCTATCTTGGTATCTGATTAAATTCAAGCTCTTTTGAATTTGAAACTTGGTTGTACAAGAGGCAATTTTTCTGTCGTTTTTGATGTGTTTTTTTTTACCGATTTGACAGTTGACTCAAAACAAAGTTTGGACTGGGAGTGTTTCCATTCAAGTGGTCTCACTTCTCCTCTCTCATTACTACATCATAATTTTGTATGTAAATTTATATTAATATGACAAAAACTCACCATATTCTTTACAAAAAAGTAAAGACATTTTGCTTTCTTTTTTCATTTGACTTCAAGGGACTTTGTCCTATATAGCCAATCACTTCGATTTTCTTGAAGAGTAGAAATTTTGGTGTTTGATCTTAATATAGTTCTTGTATAGGTTGGATGCCCTCCAAGTTTTGGATAAATAAAATATTAGTGATTACAGAATGTAGTAAGAAGTTCAATTGAATATTTAAGCATTATATATTAATTCGTTTAACGGAGAGTGAAACAACGAATAGTAAAATCTTTAATGTAACAAGTTTAAATGAAGAATTGAAAAAAAAAAAATTCAAAAAATTTGAAACAAGTAAAAGAAATAAAAAGAATGTTAGCAAAATGAACATAAAACAAAGATTTTAATTGATGGGTTATGGGCTCATGGTTAATCTTATCATATTAAAAGTAAAAAAACATTATCTGAACTTTCAACGCTACATCATGCTAAATGTGGCTTAATGTATAGCTTTGTTGCAAACACACTGGTCAAACACATAGTTGATATAAGATGAGACTCTACTAAGGTATAATCAACTATACCCATAGATAAGCAATTATACACATAATAATACACCCAAACAAACACACACAAACACAAACATACATTCACAGATACACTAAAATACACATAGACACACACTAATACATCAAAACATACACATAAACACGCACCCATTACCACACCAATATACGTGTATTAGTGTGCGCATTTTTGTGTATTAGTGGGTGCTTGTGTCTGTGTTTGACATAATATAATAGTGTATGCGTGTGTTATGGTCTAAAAGTATACGTGTCTTTTTTGGTAAATTAGTGTGTTTTTTGGTATATTAATGTGTCTACTATATTATTATATATATTTTTTGGTGTATGAGTATTTGTGTGCATAAATATGTGCATGTTTTGTGTATTAATGTGTGAGTTTGATGTATTAGTGTATGTGGATTTTGTTGTACAAGTGTACTTATATATATATATATATATATATTTTTTTTTTTTTGGTGTATTACTATAAATTTTTTTTGGTATATTACTATGTTTTTCTTTGTATAATGTGTGTTTTTTGAAGTATTATTACATGTATTTTGGTGTATGTATGTTTTGGTGTATTAGAATATGTGTGCATGTGTTTTGGTGTATTAGTATCTATTTTTTTTTAATATTAGAGTGTGTTTTTTGTGTATGAGTTTATTTGAGACCTGTGCGTGAAGGCACAGTACAATGTGAATGATTTTGTGGGGGATGTTAATGACTGTTGGATGAGTTTATTTAAGACCGTCAGATGGACTTATTGAAAATTTTCATGTTTTATATTATAAATGTGTGTGTTTTCTAGGCGTAGTAGTGTGTGTGGTGTGTTCGTTTTAGTGTATTAGTGTGTGTGTTCGGCGTGTAGGAGTGTATGTGTGTGTGTGTTTTGGTGGATTTGTAAGTGTGATTATATGTTTGATGTATTAGTATGAGTGTTTTGATGTATAATGTATGCTTGTTTTTGTGTATTAATGTGTCTACAATGTACTAGCGTGTGAGTGCATGTTTTTGGTGTATGTGTGTGTGCTTTGATACATTAGTGAGGATGTATGTGTTTTCTTGATGTAGTAGTGTGTAAATGTGCTTTTTTTTTTTGTATATAGTGTTTTGGTAGATAAATGAGGATGTATGTGTTTTCTTGATGTAGTAGTGTGTAAATGTGTTTTTTTTTTTTTTGGGTGTATATAGTGTTTTGGTTGATAAAAGTGTGTGTGCCTTTTTTGGTGTATTAGTGTGTTTAACATTGTGTGTATGTGTGTGCTTTAGTGTACTAGCGTGTTTGTTTTTTTGCATATTAGCACATTTGTGTGTTTTGACATATTAGTGTGTATGTGTGTGTTTTCACATATTAATGTGTACATTTTGTTATAAGATAAAAGTAAAATTAAGAAGCTTTTAACATAGAAATGTTTTTAGAGAAGTAAAAGTTTCTCAATTTATTCTGCAAATGATATTTGACATGTTCTCCAATATGCCATGCTTAAAGTGTATCATTGAAGTGGGAGAATTAGGTTTTGGATTGGGAAAGGAAAATTTTCCCAATTGGGATGGAGATCATGCAAGTCAAAATCTGCTTTGGATCAGCGGAAATCTGCTTTGGATCAGCGGTGATCATGTATGCTCCTTCATAAATTGCGTTGCTCCAACAAAATTATGGGGGCACACACAATGGTTTTTACATCCTATAATGAGTATATCAGCTGACTAGAAACCAAAAATAATTTCTTTAATGGACGATGAAGTACATAATTATGCACCAATATAGACGTAAGTCAACATACATATTACGAGCATGCCCATTTGATTTGAAGATCTTGATATTACACTATGTTTGTATCCATTTTGGATTTATCATGTATTTGGGCAGATAGACTATCTTCTTACAGCTTCACCCCTTGAAAATCAGAAGGAAAATGTTGTTCATTTTGCTGAGAGGGTAAGCATATGCTAGTAAATATATTTCACATTATCAATTGTCAAGTTAAATGTAAATATTATGAGATGTCTCCTACTTATTTTGTTGGTTGTTTTATATACATGATATTCTACATGGTTGATGTTGAACAACATATAAATTACAACAATGTGAATGTGTTTTACGGATAACTTCTTTTAGATCATGTTACACTTTTGCCCATTAACGTTATAAATTATGATTTTATTTTATTCTTTATTTTATTTTTCAAATATCTTAAATGTCACTTTCTTGTTTGTGAATTTAGTTTTTGCTCTTTCTACAATGGTAATTCTAAACAAAACTTCTAATTCAAGAGCTACGGGGCCTACTTGCAAGAACCTATGTTTGATACTCCCAGATACATGACATTATATGAAATCAAGTTTGGCAACCAACACTTGTTCTACATTGTGTTCTATCAAACGCCTTAGAATTGGACAAAACTCCCTATAATCTGTTTTTTGCATGTT